GGTGGCACGTGGCCTTTGCCTGGACAAACCTGCCACAGCAGAAAGCAAACACACGCGTTCGGCCGCAGCGTGCTCTCAGGGGCTGGCACGCGCCAGTGGCACCGCAGGAGGGGGCGGCTGGGCCAGGCTGTGTGCCCGTGGCTGTGCTGCGTCCTCCGGCCCCACCAGCAGCCTGACGTGGCCAGCGTCCCCCTGCTCCCACTGTGCCGGGGCCGGCGTTTGTGGAGAGCCCTGCTCAGCCGCCTCCGTGAGCAGGAGGGGTCTCCATCTGCTGCATTTTCGGGGGCAGGAGCAGGGCGGTGACGTGAGCGGCTGCAGGCAGCGGCGGGGCTCCTGCGGGGGCTGCTGGGGTGGTGGCAGGGCCGCACCGGCCGGGGCTGTGGTGCCAGCAGCTGTGCCCGGGCAGGGAGGTCGCTCCGGGGGGTACAGCCCTGCCTGAAGCCCGGGTCCCCTCCGCCTGTTCTCAGGTGCAAGAAGCAGCCAGGCAGGAGGGATGCAGCCAGATCAGAGTATGGTGTCCGTCCCGCAGTCAGAGTGTGTCACCGGTGGTTGTTGCGTGTCACACGTGGTCAACCTGTGCAGCAGGAGCGGTGCCAGGGCTGGGGCAACCCCAAGCATTCAGCCCAGCCCTTGCTGTATTACTGTGGCTGCTGGTGACCACCCGGCTCACTGCGGGGGCCCTGTCCCTGGTCACAGAGGAAGCGGGGCTACAGCTTTCAGGGTGTGTCAGCCCCCCAGCCCCTGCCTCTGCCCCGGGAAGGCTGTGGGGTGGAGGGAAGCAAGACCTCGAGGGCTTGGGCATGATGTGGGGCAGCTGCCTGCCTAGGGCTGGCTCCAGCCCTTCAGAGCCAGGATCAATTCCTGGAGCCCGGGGGAGAGCCCCAGAGGGTGCCAGCTTTCAGGGGAAGCCAGGAGGGCAGGCAGGCTACAGGAAGGTCCTATATCACCTGGCTGGAGGAGGAGGAGGGGTGACCTTGGAGTGGAGCTAGCAGACACCACACTGCTACAGGGCCCGGGCTGCCAGTGTTCTGGCATGCCCTCGGCCATCCCTCGGCTGCAGCCGCACGCCAGCATGCGGAGGCTCAACGTGGGAGCACAGAGTTGCACCCCTGTTCCCCGGGCACCCAGTATCCCCCCATGCCTGGCGTGGCCCCGGGTCCAGTGACCGTCCCCCACCAGGGGCTGTGTCTTGCTGCCGCGCAGGGCTGGACCCCCATGGCCCAGGTTGAGCACTGTGCCCACAGTGGCTGATGCCCAGTGGACTCAACCAGCTCATGCCTCTGGCACCGGCACCCCGTCAGCTGGCAAGCTGGGCGCTGGCGGTGCCAGCACACAGAGCATAAGAGCTCGGACCAGTGCTCAGCACTAATTAATTATCCTCTTACGTTAACTTTTATCTCTCTATCTGCAGTAGTGACGCAGCAGGGGCAGTTCTTGCCTTCCCAGCCACCCAGACATACTCCTCAATTTTATTTTTGTTTCTTTTTCACCTGTATGTTTTGGCATGAGTGTTAGAAAACAGCTTTGCCCAGGGCCACGTGTGCCAGCAGCTCCGTGCCCTGCCCAGCCATGGCGAGACATTGCCAGACCCTGCGGCATTTGAAGGGTGCAGGGGAGACACCCCTGTTGTGGGCACCCCTTGTCTGGGCACCCTGTTCCTCTCGGGGCGCACCCCCGTGCCCGGCACGGCTCTCCTGGGGTGGGTCCTCAGGGCTGTGCTGAGCTTTCCCCCCAGGATAACCTGCCCAGGGGGTGTCTGTGTGCGCACACACCTTGCGGCTTGCATGCCAGCGTGTCCTCCTGTGCACAGGACTGTTCCTGCTCCCATGCGTCCCCGCTCGTGCTCACCCACTGTTTGTCTTTCCATGCCAGCTGCACAGTGTCCCACTCACCCACTGGCCTTGGGCTCAGCTCCTGCCTGCAGGGAGCCACCTTGCCTTCTCCAGTACTGGCAGCTCATCCCAGCCCAGAGCCTGGTCCCCAGGGTGGTGGTGGTGAGGGTCGGATGTGCCCCCATGGCTCCTGGGTGCCAGCACACATGGTGCTCAGTCCCTGGCACTTCCTGGAGGTGCCCACTTTCACCAGCTGGGCTTTGGGGTATGCTCAGAGAGTGGCAAAGCCCCCACAAACACGCTCACCCTGCGGGGTGTCCATGTGGTGATATCTGCTCACTGAAAAACGACTGATTACACATGGGGAGCTTAATTAGATCAGTGCCCGCCTGTCTCGCTCCTAATCCCAGCCTGTGATGGCTGGGCAAACATAGCTTGTTCCTCAAATAGAGATAATGACCTTTTTTTATATTCCAGGCTGGGGTTTATTTAACTGGTTGCTGGGCACTGGCTCGGGGCTGCCTCCCCCTCACCCTTCCCGCTGTTCCAAGGTGACTCCAGGGTAGCTCTGAGGGTCCCACTGGGGTCTCACGGTACCGGGTGGCCACAAGTGCTGGGTGACCTGTACCGGGGTGACTTCCTCTGGCCAGTGCTTTCAGCAGCACCTGTTTTGGGGTAATGTGTCTATGGGTCCATTGCACAGGTGGGGGTCTCCGGTGTGTGTCCCCCAGTGCCCCACAGGGATGTGGTATGTTGCCACCCATGGGGCTGCACAGTACCAACACCTCCTTCTGCCCCTGAGAGGCTGCATGTTTTGGCTGTTTTGTGATTTTTAAACAAAGTGGCCTTGAGACTGAGCCCAGGGTGGGTGAAGTAAGCAGCCGAGTCCAATTTCTGTACTTAAACGCCTGATTATTTTCCCATTAAGCATTAATTCTTCCCCAGCCGCCTGGCTGACCCCCACACCATCCCAGGGAGCAAACCTGGCTCCTGCAGGCGCAGGGGGCTCTGCCCCCTTGCCCAGAGCGCATCCCCTCCAGGCTTCTGTACCCGGTGCAGGGTTTAGCCAACCCTAATTGCTGCAATTAGCAGCTGGCAAGAAAACTCTGCCCGCAAGAGAAGCCTCTGCAGCAAAGGCAGCTCTGCCCTTCTTTGGCACCGTCAAACGAACACAACGCCCCGTGGGGGGCAGTGGGGAGAGGTCTGGGGGCTGTCAGTAGCAGTTGCACCCCCTGCGGATCAGTTTAATGGTGAAACAGGGTCACGCAAAGGGCAATTTGTTGTGGGTGGCATCCCATTCAGCATCCTGCACAAATTCCTTTCAGGTGGCATCCCGCTTGGCACACGCACCCTTTCTGGGGGAGCAGAACTGCCATGGTGGCCCTGGGGCTTCGTGTCCTGGTGGCTCCTTCCTGTGCCTGGACAATTCACCGTGCCAGATCGCGGCTGCCCCCCTCGCCCCCGGTGTGCTGCAGGGATGGGGATGCTCGGGACAGCCCCCAGAGTTGGGGTGCCCCTTCTCCTGGGGTGCTTGGTGCCATGCTGCACCCGGGCTATCCCCAGCCCTGCTGTCCCTCAGGGTGTGGGGACGGGCAGATGGCAGGTGCTTTGCCCATGGTGTCAGCGTGGGCGGGCAAGGACTGGCGGGGATGGCTCAGGGAGCGTGGGATGGTGCCTGGAGCCGGCTCCTGCCGTGAGTCACCGCCGGGCCGGGGGCGGCCAGGGCTGGCCCTGCTCCCAGTGCGGGTCCACAGCGGGGCTGCCTGCTGCTGCCTGCAGGGAAGGTGTGGGCAGGGCCACGGGTGACAAGGTGAAGTGCAGGGCTAGGGGAGCTGTGTGCTGCACCCCCTCCAGCTGTGTACCCCCCATCCAGCTGTGCCCAGCCCAGGACACCAGGGGACTAAGCGGTACCCGATGCCACACTGCCACCAGCTTGTGGTGGGGACATGGCAGTGGGGATGTCTGTGCTTGTGCCCCCGCAGTGCCAGCAGTGTCACTGTTCCTGGCAGCAGCTCCCACTGCTGCCAGTGAAAGCTTGGACCGCAGAGTGTCCCCATAGCCCCATGCCACAGGTGAGACCTGTGCACTGGCCCTGTGTGTCGCTGTCCCAGCTGGTCACGGTTCCTCTCCATCTCCACACATGGTTGGCCACCATCAGGTGGTCTCAGGACGCAGCTTTGCATAGGACCTGGGGACTTTGTGTCCCCTCAGAAGGTCCCACAGGCTTGAGCCAGGCTGGGGAAGGACCGAGGCTGCTCCTGCCCAGAGCATGCTGCCAAAGAGTCACCAGCATGTTGGGTCCATAAGAGGTCGGAGTGTGTGGGTCTCGTGCCTGTCCTCAGGTACTGGAGGGGTTCCTGGGTCTGACATGGAAAAGGTGCTCTGTGAAGCCATGGAGGAGGTTTGGGCCGTGGTGCGTCGCCATGGGAGGGGTGGGTCTCTCCATTTTCCCATGTTACGATGTCAAAGGGATGGAAACTGAAGCTGCTGCTGCCTGTGATGACCTGTCACAGCCTTGCTGAGGCTTTGGGGGGGTCATTTGGGTGGTTTTTTGTTTAACGGCTGCCATATGAGCATCGGTTTGTGTTGGTTGGATTTCAGCTGCCAGCCTGCTGGGCCACTGCCTGCGTGGTGCGGGCAGGGGCTGAAGACCTTCATCGCTGCCAGCTCTGCAGGAGTTGGGGTGTCCTGCAGCACCCTGGGGCTTCACCCTGGGGCTCGTGGTGTCCTGTGGGATGGCTGCACCCTGGGACTTGGGACGTCCCAGGGGATGGTGACAGCCTGGGGCTTGCATTGTCAAATGGAGAGTGGCTTCCTGGGGCTTGAGATCCTGTGCAGGACGGGCACTACGTGCTCTTTCCTGCAGGCAGCAAACAGCCTTGCACAGGTCAGAAAATCGTGGAGTATCATGAGTTGGAGGGAACCCATAAGGATCGTTGAGGCCATCTCTGAGGTAATTGGAGCCCATGCTTAATTGCAGTCAGTAATAGCTTTGCTTAGGCAAAAGGGAGCGGAGGGGCAGGTCTGATGAGCACATCTGCCCCCATTAGCTGCAGGGGGACCTGCCCTCTGCAGGTGTGGCCAGGGCAGCTGGATCCCATGCCAAGAGGCCACAGGGAGCGTTTGACCCCTCTCCTCCTCCTGACCTGTGTTCTCCTGTCCCTGCAGCAGCGTCGTGTCCCCGGAGCCTGGACTGTGCCCTGCAGCGCCGGGAGTTCTGCCCACCGGGGTCAGGTGCCTGTGGCCCCTGCCTGCCCCCCTTCCAGGAGGATGACCATGGGCGATGCGTCCAGAAGCAGCTCTCTCCCAGTGGTAGGTGCACCCAGCCTGCTGTGGCTCCTTCTGTGACCCTCCTGCCTGCGAACCTGCCTGCAAACTTGCCCTGCACCTCCACAGCTGCAGGAGTTTCTGCTGCCTCGGGGCAGCCTCTGGCTCCAGCAGCCCCCTGGCTCCTTTTTCTCTAGTTTCTCCTTTCCATGGCAGCTGCGTCCCCATGGGGGACCCTCTCACCCCAAGCCCTGGCTCACCACCACTGTGAGGTGGTTTGGGGGCTGGCGGGGAACGCACAGACCCACCCCACTCCTTGTGCGTCCTGCAGCCATGTCGGTGACTGTGTGTGCCACTGGCCCTGCTAGCACCCAGGGGTGCCCAAGAACCCAGGGATGTGAAAGAGCCCAGGTGGCTGCTGGGGTTCTATGGGATGAAGGCTGTTCAGAGTAGGGGATGTGGCCACACAGAGCCCCAGGCTTTGCAAGAGCGGGGTAGCAGCTTTTGGTGCATGGAGCTGTGACTCGTGCAGACCCCGTAGTGGAGGCAAATGGGTGCCCGTGGCCTCACTAGTCCCAGGGCTGAGTCATGCCAGCGTTTGGGATCTCAATAGCTGTTTCCCAATGGTTTGAGATGTTGGGCTGTGGTTTGGGTCTGCCATCTCCTCCACTGGTGCCCAGCATCCACACTGCTAGGGCTGGAGTTGGCAGCACTGGTTGGAGCCCTGCATGGCTGCAGACAAGGGCACTGGGTGTTATTGCCCCACTCCTTCCCAAGGGAGCTGGGGGGCTGTGTGGTGCCAGCGGGCAGAGAGATGGGCAGGGATGTCCCTGGGGAGGAGCCACCCACAGTCACCCCACACAGGGCTCTCCCCGCCGCTGCTGCAGTGCACGGAGGGTGCTCCTGGTGCAGCCGTGGCACCTGCACCCCAGCTCAGCTGCAGAAGTGGTGCTGGGGGCTGGGCACAGGCAGTTTTTAGGGTAACCCTCAACTGTTCATGTGGCTTGGAAAGCTGTAGGCAGCGCTGTTCCTGTGCCCCCACCTCGTGGTTTTTCTTGCAGATTCAACAGGCAGGTGAATTAAGCCTGTAATCATGGCTCCACCCAATTATTTTTGCTTTAACTAAAGTTGAGCAGTCTCTGTGTGTGGGGAAGGAGCTGGGACCCAGCCGTGTCCTTGCAAATCACTCTTGGAGGGGGGGGGTTCTGCTGGGGAGCACCTGGGTGGGAGGTGGGGGCTCTCGAGTGCCCCTGAACCACCTCCCTGCCTGCTGCAAAGTGCATCAGCACCTTCTTCCAGCGACTCTTTCCTGCCTGCTTTTTGCTCCTGCTGTCCCCAAAACCCTCTTGCTAAGGGGAGGTTGGGTTTTCCATGGCAGGCAGAGCCCATGGGCCCTCCTGAAGCCTGTGGTGGGTACCCCACAGCACTGCCCAGCCCTGGCATGGGGCTGAACTGGAAACACACAGTGTGGCTCATCCCCCTGCACCCAAGCTGCGTGGAGGGGTCCTCTGGGTTTTGGGGAGGGTTGCTTTGTGTTCCGGTTCCTGTGTCTTCAGCAGGTTTCAGGTCCCACTGGGGTGCAGCCAGAGCTGCCCTTTGCCTGTGGGTCAACCCTAGCTTTGCAGCAGGTGGACACATGGGGGGTGGCAGAGCCCATCGTGTTCTTCGTGCCACCAGGGGCAAGGGGACCACCCCTTAAATCAGAGGGGAGACCTCCAAAGGAGAGTCCTGGCTCTGCACAGCCCTTTGGCTCTCAGGCAGAGGCGCCAGGCAGCACTGAAATGGGGGCGATGGTTGAGGGGGGACAAGAGGGGACATGCAGTGCTGCACAGTGTTGGGGTCCAGGCTTGGTGTTTGGCAACAAGCAGGGGTCCGATGGGCAGATGCCCCCGGCTACAGGCTCCACATCAATGGATACCAAATGGCTTTAACAGTTCTTTGTGGTTTATTTTTTAATGTGAAGTCTTGGGAGCAAATTCCCCTCTCAGAAGGGTTGCACATGCGCCGGCATCTCCATAGCAACCCTGCTCCATGCTGGCTTTGGCAGGGAGATGCAGCCACAGCAGCATCTTTGCCCGTTTTGGCAAAGGGATGTGGGACCGCAGTAGCATCCTCTCACAGCTTCTCTGGGACAGCGGTAGCATCCTCTCCCGGCTTTGTCAGACAGATGCAGGACTGCAGTAACATCCTCTGAGAGGATGCTGGGAGGATGTCAGCAGGATGGAGACAATCCCAGGGTCTCTCCCCACCCTGTTCTGTTGTCTCAAGCAATGCCACCACCTTCTGGCAGCAAAAGTGTGGGTACGGGGGAAAAAAGAAAAAAGGCAGTGTCCCCTCCCAAATCCTCTGTTTTAGCATGCGGGGGAGCAGTAGCATCCTGAAGACGCCCAGCTCCTTTTGGCAGAGAGACACCAATTTTTCCCATGGCTGTTTTTGCCTCCTGCCTGTACCTCAGTCTGGCCGCAGCATCCAGATGCCCGATGGAATGGGGAGAGCCTGTGAGGATGCGGAAGGGCTGCAATAGCTGCATTTGGAGGAGGGTGTGATGCAAACAGGGGAGGGGGGGGGCGGGTTGCCGTGGCTTAAGGATGCCTAGCCCTTTAAAGGGGCTGCCCACGCAGGGTTAGGCATCTTTGAGCCGCTTGCAACTGCTGGTGACGCCATCCTGGGATCCCAGCTACTGCCGTGCTCGCTGCTGCACCATCCCTGCTATCCCGGCAGAAGCGTGGGCAGCTGTCGGGGCTCCTCCAGCGTACTCATGCAGGCAGGCGCTGAGAACAGCTTTTTGGGGTGAAAAGTGGCTTTTTGGGGGTCTCGGGAGGGCGATGCACGTGAGCAGCATGTTTCTCCTATTAGTGACGGCGTGCGTGGGTGTCTCGGCGTACCCAGCACAGTGCCAGCACGGAGGTGAGATGGGATGTGCTGGACCTCATGATGATGCTTCAGCCAGGCTGGCAGCCTGCTGCCTGCACCTCACTGGCACTGCCTGTCCCCAAAATGCTGCCAGCACCAAGATGCTGCATGCTGTCTGAGCATGCCACGATCCGTTTGCATGATGTGATTTGGGCTGGTGGGTCCCATCCCTGCTCCTGCCTGCACGGGGAGCCAGGGCTGAGCCCCCCTGGGCTGCAGGAAGCGCTTTGGGAAGAGGGGGAGGTCCCGGTTTGTGGACCTGGGGGTTCCCCCCTCCCCGCTTGCTGGAGGATGGAGGACATCAGCCATCCTGGGGCAGGACTATAGAAGTAAGTGGATTTGTGGGAATTTTCTGCCCTCCTGTGGAGACTGGCAACATCAGGTTTCCTCTACCAGGGCAGAAGCCACGCATGTTCTTTCTTGCTCCTTGCTGTCCCCCAACCCATCAAAGTGACTGGCGAGACCCCTGAGAGTGTCCCAGGATTGAACCCTGGAGACCCTGGGGAGAGGAGACCCCAAGGAAGGGTCGGGGGAGAGCGGCTGGGCTGGGATGCCGTATGCCAGCCTGGCCGTACCCTCCCTGCTGCAGGCAGCTGGGGGGACCTGCCATGAGAGGGCACCCGTGCCCTGTGCGAGCCCAGTGCGAGTCCAGTGTGCCCCCTGTGCATACCCTGCGTGCCCCCTGCATGCCCACCTTGCTGCAGCAAGGCTGGGGAGCCCCTGGGAGCCCCTTTATCTCAGCTTCTCTTGCAGCCTGGGGCAGCCAGGCAGGATCAGGGGGGCAGTCCCAGTTCCCTGTTCCCCAGGGAGCAGCCCTGGGCCAGCGTTCCCCCTGCCAGCCATGCCAAGCAGGAAGCAGCCCTCGATGCCAGGCTGCTTCCGCCCCGCATGCGTTGCGGGGTGGCAGATGTGTCACTGGGGGACATCTGAGCTGCCAAACAAAACAGGGGCATGGGTTTTTTTTAATGGCTGAAAGGGAACTTGGCAATAAAACTGGCTAATGCAGGTGAGCGGCACAGCCTGGGCAGTGCTAGCAATGTCAAAATCCGCCAAACGGCACAGCTGCCTCAGTTCTCCTTGTGCCACTTCGCACAGCAGGAGGCTCAGAGTGACCAGGGATGGTTTTCCAGCTTTGTTTTCCTTTTCCAGCCACATCATGTTCATCCTCCGCAGCACTGGCTGTTGCCCAAGGCCAAGGGGTGTCAGGGCTGGGCTGGGCTGTGCACCCTCTTACCGGAGGCACCCACATGGCCTGGTCCCCCAGGCCCAACAGTGACACATGTAGGCACGGGCAGGGCTGTCCCTTGGGTCCCACGGGAATGGGGACAGGTCTTTCCCTGAGTGCAGGGAGGAGCTAGAGCCAGGATGTCCTCACCCCAGGCACCAGGATGTCCCCATACCGAGTTGTCCCCATGAGGCACAGGGCTGTCTCGCTCAGTCCCACGCCAGCTTCTCTGCCCATCAGGAGACCCTGGCCCTGTCTTGGCACCTCGGCATGATGGCACTCACCCCTTGGGAATAGCATTGGTGGCACAGCCCCAAACCTGGCACCATTTGGCCGTGTCATTGCTTTGCAAATAACAGGGTGCAAAGAGGTGGGGAGACCCAGGGCTCATGGGACATGTGGCACTCTGGCTCCTGCCGAGGACAAGAGGCTGGGGGGATCTGGGGAGACAGGGCATGGGGTGGGGGAGAAGGGGGGCAGGAATGGTGGTATTTCATGCACTTGTTTAAAGCAAGAGTGTCCCCCTTTTAAATTGTTTTTTTTTGCTTGTGTGGCTCTGAGTCACAGGGCAGCCAAGTGGCCTTTGTGCCTGACTCCAGAGGGAACTGGGGTTTATTTCCAAACATTGAGAGCAAGGACAGATTTGAGAGGAGCTGTAATTGTTATAACCTTGAATTATCTGGGAACCAAGCTGCCGGTACCACCTCGCCTTTGTATGTCTTGATTTACCCTCCAGGGCTTCCTGCTGGGGGCAGCCTGAATACGGCAGCGCCAGGGCAGAGGGAGCAGGGATGGGGACAGGGATGTCTCCTGCCTTTGAGTTTAATCCTGTTAAAAGCGGAATGGTGAGCAGCAGAGCTTGACTCTGCTCGGTGAGCATGGGGGTGGTGGGTCCCCTACTGCTCTGCACTCTCACCCCATGGGTGGGCACCCCTGGCCTGGGCTGGGGGTCCTGCCCGTGTGCCGCACCACAGGGGCACCTGGCCCTTTGTGGGTCCCTGGCAAGCACTGTGCTGGGGTACGGGCTGGGCAGCCACCTCTAAAATGCCCAGCTGGCCCCTGGGGACATGGTGGTCCTCCCTGCATGGGGCATCCTAACCCACTCCCCAAAGGGGTCGCATCCTGCCGGGTGCAGGGCAGAAACCAGTCCCTCAGTTGGAGCAAGGGTTCCCACCAGCTTCTGGATGGCTCTGCTCTGGGGTGGCTCCAGCCCCCTGAGCTGTACAGGACAATTTGGGGTGACAACCAGCATTCAGGTGTCTCTTGCCTACTCTTGGAAAGGCAGGGTCTGCAATTTGCCCTGCTAGCCCTGCACCTAACACCCCGCAGCAGCAGGGGGGCTGTGGGGTGTCCCTCCTCGCTCAGGGCCGTTGTATGGCCCCAGATGTGGGGACAGGGGGCAGCTCCTGAGCAGTGGGTGCTGGCAGCCTGCCTGCTCCTACAAGGCTCTGCAGGACCCACTGGCTCTGGCACAGGGAAGGCTGCAACCACTGTTGCTCCTGAAACTGCCAGCGTTTGTGGGGTGAAAAGCAACCCAAAAGCAGTGAGGACACTTGCAGATCCTGGGCCTCGGCTTTGGTACAGCCACTGTGCCAGGGGGCTGTGTCTGGGGGGGGCTGGACTCAAACCACTGCGTTTGCTCATGCTGGGACATGAGCCCCTTCTCAGGGGGATGCTGGGTCCAGTCCCAGGCATGGGCATGCGGCCACATCCCAGAGTGTCCTTCTGATGCCCACTCTCTCCCGGCGCAGGGCGGATGTCTGTTCCCAGCTTGGAAGCAGAAATCGATTTTCTGGCGGATGTGCTGGCCAGGCACGAGGCTCCTCACCCCCAGCCGCTGCGGGATGGCAAGTCCAAGAGTAAGTGCCTGCTGCCCCACTCCCACCACTCCCTGCAGCAGTGCCGAGACCCACGGCAGCCAGACCCTGCACCCCAGGCTGGTTTGCCCTCCAGAGCTGCCCGGGTGCTGCTCTGCTCATGGCTCTGCCTTCTCCTGCAGCCACCTCGGTCCCTGCTGGTGGCAGACAACGCGTGGCCAGTGGGCTGAGAGAGGAATTTCTGCAGCAGAGTGCTGCCGGCAGCAAGGCAGCAGCCACCCTCCCCACCTCCACCAGCACCGCCGTCCCGAAGTACCCGGTGGAGGCATCTCCCATGCCTTCAAATGACGACGTGGTGCTTGGTGAGACCCTGGGGGCAGGCAGGGAGGGGGTTTCACATCCTCGCTGGGGAAGTGTGGGCTGGTGGCACTGTGCCACTGGGCTCACCCACTGTCCCTCTGTGTCCCCTTCCACCTCTGCAGGGCTGATCGCAGTGTGCACAGTGGCTGGGATCTCGGCGCTGATCGTGGCTGCAGTCTGCTGGTGCAGGTGAGCAGGGGGCTGCTGGTGCCAGCTGGTCCCTCAGTGTCCTTGTGCCCACAGGAGCTCGTTCCTGTGCTTCCCCAGGCGCATGGCGGGGTTTGGAGCAGAGGCACTGGCTGCCCTTGCCAGTCCCCCTCCATGGCCACCGGGGTACAGCATCTGCTGGTCGGGGCTGGAGGACAGTGGTGGGACACCCCTGTGCCGGGCATAAACCATGATGCCTGGGAGTGAGTGGCACTTGGTTTGGGCATTGCTGCAGCGCTGGGTGCTGACACCCCCAGCACGTTGGTGCCTCATGCCAAGGCCCAGTGGGACGCTGGTGGCTGTGATGAGGTCCCTGGGACAGGGCCACCTGGCCTGGGGATGCCACCCATCATGGGTGCTATCTCAGGGAACAGGGATGTGGGTGGGAGGACTGAGCCCCCCTGGGGGATCACTGGCTCCTCTATGGAGTCTCCTCCTCCGGTGGCTCCTGCCAACCACTCTCCTCTCCCTTGGCAGGTTGCAGAAGGAGGTCAGGCTGGCACAGAAAGCAGACTACTCATCACAGCGAGTGACCAGCCCCCTGCCCTACGACAAGATGTCGGTAAGGCACCCTTGCAGGGTGTTGAGCACTGGGGCCAGGCATGTGCTCTGCTTGAGGGGCTTCTGACATGGCGGTGGACACCCACCAGCTGGGCTCAGGGCTCTCCAGAGCCTGGCCTTTATGCCTGGCCTTACTCTCTCCGCAGCCTGGGGACAAGACGCTTGCTCAGAGCGCCCAGATGTACCACTACCAGCACCAAAAGCAGCAGATGCTCTCCATGGAGAAGTAAGCAGCCCCGGGAGTAAGTCACTCCACCCCGGGAGCAGAGAGCAGACCTGGTTACTGGTCCATGACCTGCCATTAACTAGGGTGCCATTAAGTATCCCCTTGGACTTCACCCCCTCTCTGCATCCTCTCCCCCCAGGCATAAAGAGGAGCCCAAGCTGCCAGACTCGGCATCATCTGACGAGGAGAATGAGGATGGAGACTTCACTGTGTACGAGTGCCCCGGGCTGGCTCCGGTACGGTGGGCGTGAGGTGGCCAGGGGGGACCCTGTGCATGCATGGAGGGATCCAAAATGTGCCTGAGATGTGCAGTTCCTTTCTAGGAGCCTTTTAAACACGTCTTTCATCAAACCCTGAGGTGGTCCCTGCCCTGGCCAGGTCTCACTGGAGCTCTCCAGTGGGCAGGAGTGGGTGCCCTGGCATGGGGCCATTCCCTGGGGAGCGCTGCCCCATGGCCCTAGGCTGGAGCAGCCCTTGGCAGAGCCAACCCATCGTCCCTGTGGTGCCAGGGACACGGTCACCTCAGGCTCTTGGACACTGGGACAGGGGAGCTCGTCCTGGTGCCTCCCCAGTGCAGGGACTGGGTAACTGTGACCTCTCAAAGCCAGGGGGGACTTTCCTGGCTGGCAGGGGACCCCAGGGAAGGACAGCTCCAAACAGCCCTGGGTACAAAGAGCACAAAGAGACCTGAAACAAGCCTTTCACATGGTAATGGCTGCGGAGCCCGGCCATCAGGGCCCAGATTAAGGATCATCATTAGGTCTTTACAGGCCCATTAAAGGGCACTTGATGGTGAGCAGGCAGTCTGGGCAAGGAACCCCATTCCTGCCAGCCAGGCTGGGGGTCCCATCCCAGCCAGAACCATGGGTTTTACACACCATCATCCCATCCCAGCAGCCCCAGCTGCTCCTGGGGAGGAAGCAGCATCTTTCCAGGGATGATGGCAGGGTCCAGGTGTATGTCATGTATGTCACCCCATCCATGCCTATGAGGTCCCCTGCATCCTCCCTCCTCCCTGCTGGGCTGGGGTTCAGACTTGGGACAGGGTGGCTCAACCCTCAGCTAGTTTCTGACCTCCTGCCTTTTCCTTCCCCCCATCCCGCTCCCTCTGCCGCCACAGACTGGAGAAATGGAAGTGAGGAACCCACTGTTTGACGACTCCTCCTTACACCCCTCCAACCCCAAGTCACACCAGTAACACCCCTCCTCTCCTCCGCCCAAGCTTGCTATGGACTGTTCGCCCGACGCCAGAGCCCAGCAGGGTGGCCGCGACGGAGGGGAGCCCACAGCTGGGCAAAGGGGTGCAGCCCCTGCTCTGCCAGACTGTTTGACGCCTGCCCAATAAACACCCACTAACAGCTACGGCAGGGGGGGATCGCCCCTGTTGAGCCTCCTTGTCCTCTTTGCTGCTGTGATCGCGTCCCTGCCTTGCCCTTCGCTCGCTGCTCTGGGGACACGCCAGCCCCGCGGGGGGAGCGGCCGCTGCCTTGGCACAGAACTGGGGGTTCCGCAGCACTGTCTCTTTGCATTTGGCTTTGAGGAGGGTGCTGCTGCCCTGGCTGCAGCTGGGCTGATACGGCAGCAGCTGGGAAAGGGCTGGAGAGGGGGTTAGAGAGCAGGAGCGAGGCCGGGGGGGGTGGGGGCGAGCACACTCGTGTCTGCTGGGGACGTCATTAGGGCTGCCAGCCTGCCCAGAGCCCCTCTGCCAGGGATGGAGACTTTCCCTGGAGCGGGTGGCATCACTAAAGGCTCTGGTGCCTGGTCTGCCCCTTCTTCCCCATCATGGGCAGCCCCTGGCAGCAGGGTCCCACTCTGGGAGCCCAGGGCAGGAGCAGGGATTGCTCCCCAGGATGCCCCTTCGAATGCCGTCCTGCGCCAGGCTAGGAGCTCTGCCCTGGCCCCTGCACTGGCTCCATCCCCTTCCAGGAGTGCTGGTCCTCAGAGGCTCCAGGTCACAGACAGTCCCAGTGCTGCTATGCCAGGCTGTCCCAGCGAAGGATTTCCTCGTGGCAGCCCTGGGTGCCAGCTGGGCTCTCACCACAGGCTTCCATGGGGTGAATGCTCAGAAAAGGCCTGGGGTCTTGGTTTTAAGCCTGTATGGCCATGGGGGAGGAAGGAGAGAGACCGTTGGGGGCTTGGGAGACCAGGAGGGGTAGCTAAGGCACAGTGGCTTTGCCGCACTGCTTCTCTGCCCCGTGGAGGCCGTGCCCTGTGCAGCATCCCTGCGGAGCCGTCCTGGCGCTCTCTTTGGGCATCCCTCTGTGGCAGGGCACAGTCTCTGCTGCTCCATCCTGGGCACCTCCCAGGCTCCAAAGACCCCCTGCACCCCTCCACTACCCACGTCTGCATCTGGGCTCACTAGTCCACGCTGACAAGTCCTTGCCCAGAGTCCAGTGCTGTTCCCCAGAGCCTCCCCGGTGTGTTGGCTGTGACCCTTCCAGCGTAAGGCCCAGGATAAGTTTTGGGTTGCTTTTCACAGATGGGACTTCATGTCCAGACCCTGGTATGGACTGTCACAGCCACGGGTGACCTGTTACACACAGGTAGCCTATTGCACGCACGGGAGCTGTTTCACACAGGGGAGCCATTGCACGCTCAGGAGCTGTTGCACGTGCAGGCAGGCGCAGGCAGCAGCGGCAGGGCCCTGTGCTGGAGAGCAGTGGTGGTGTGAGAACGTCCCCGGCAGGGCTGCTGGCAAAGGCCATCACTGCACAGATCCTTCCCCCACACTCCCTTACCCGTGGGCTGCTGCCCTTCTCCCTGCGCCCCTCGTTGTTGTATGGATTGTAGTTCTTTTAAAAGGAGATTTTATTAAACGATCATGTTTGAGACCCATGTGAGTGTGTGGTGTGGGGCCAGGCTCACTGCTGCAGGGCCCTCTGCTTGGACTGCTCCTGTCAGGAGTGGGGTGGGACAGGGAGGGAGGGTGCTACGGGTCCCCCATCCCAGAACCCTCCCCGGGGAATAGCAGGAGCAGCCGTCCTGCTCCTGCAGCTGGAGTAGCTGACAGACCCTTCCCAAGGGCTTTCCCAGACCTGCTAAGAACCAGAGTTCATTTTCTGGTTTCTCTGTGTTTGCCAGGAGA